AAAGAGAAGAAAGTGTGTAAACTTGTAAAATAGTTGTATGGATTAAAACTAGCACCGAAGTAATAACATGAAAATTTTGACAAAACTATATTGCCAAATAGTTTCAAAATTAATGAATGTAACAAATATGTTTACATCAAAACCACACCTAATGGATACGTGATCGTATGTCTATATATTGATGATATGCTAATCATGGAAAATAATTCAAACATTATTACCTCAACTAAGAAAATGTTGATAAAACATTTTGACATGAAAGATATTAGAGTTGTTGACATAATATTAGGGATTGAAATATCTAAAACAACTGATGGTTTGTCATTATCTCAATCACATTATGTTGAGACAATACTTAAAAAGTTCAAAACGTATGAAGATAAATCAATTAAAACACTAATGGATTTAAGTTTGCACTTAACCAAAAATACTGGTGATCCCGTATATCAATTAGCATATTCACGCGTTATATGCATCTTGATGTATATTACCAACTTCATGCGTCTTGATATAGCATATGCAGTCAGCAAATTGAATAAATTTTCAAGTAATCCAAGTAATGACCATTGAAAAATATTAATACGAGTTCTTAAATACTTAAAACACACAATTAGTTATAGATTACACTACTCAAGATATCATGCAGTGTTAGAAGAATATACGAATACAAATTGGATATCTGACACAAAGGATTCAAAGTCTACAAATGGTTATATGTTTACTATTGGAGACGAAGCTGTATTTTGAAAATCATCTAAGCAAATTTGTATAGCTCGATCCAGATTAAATCTGAATTTATTGCCTTAGATAAAGCATGAGAAGAAGATGAATTGCATTTTAATTTTCTCGAAGATATTCCATGTGGGAAAAATCGGTACATACGATTAATATACATTGTGATAATCAATCGAAAATTATAAGCGCATAAAATAGTATGTATAATGGTAAATCTTGACATATTCGTCGTAGACATAATACCATTAAACAGTTGATATCGAATGATATAATCTCAATTAACTATGTTAAATCAAAAGAAAACATAGCAGATCATTTGATGAAACGACTAACAAAAGATCAAGTATACCATCTTTTCAGGAGAATGGACCTAAAGCCCATCAACTAGAATCATCATAGAGGAAACCCAACATTGTAGATTGGAGATCCCAAGATCTTAGGTTAATGGGACAACTAAGTTATGAAAGATTCAAGGTAAAGCACTTATCTCATTCCAACAAACCTAAAGTGCTAGAATAAAAGGTGTTCAAGGATAAGTGTATACTTTTAATGATTCTTATATCTTAGATCTAGACAAGAGATGTATGACACAATACTATAGAAGATCACCTATATAAGTGTGAAGTAGGGCCGTTTCAACAAAAATTTGAGGTTTGAATTCTCTTAAAGCGTTTATGAAACCAAGAGTTGTTCAATGCCAAAATGATTACAACCATGAGAATTGAAGTGGTTAGATGAGTTATGATGTTAGTACATTTTTTTGATTTACACAAACAACTGAATGGTTCAAGATATCGCGTTCACCAATTAGTTTAATAAATTCGATTGTATTCAATAAGGAAGGTTTATTCACAAGTGGTGTCATGATGTTGTAGCTTGTCATATGTACTCCTTTATTAGAGTCTGCATATAATTTGGATAATGCATTGCATATTGTGGAATTTCTATTCATGTGGGGGATTGTTGGAATTAGTTAAGTTTTGAACCATGGAAATGTGACTTTCGTGTCAACTTCGGCCAAATATTCGGATTTGATTCGATAGTCAAATTAAGAAAATAAATAGACCAACTTGTTTTACTCGTCCAGTAGATCGTTGTGATATATTTGAAATATCAAAACTAATTCCAAATGAATGAGAAATTGCGGTTCAAATTTGGAAGAATAGAGAGGAAAACTGGCTGAAAAATTGTCCAACTCCGCCGCTCATCTAGTGCTCGAATCACAAGCGAGTGATAAAGTCTCTATTTCTGACGCTCGTGTGACACAATGGTGACAACAAAAGCTACGACACTTGACAAAGGTTGCGGAGTTTTGCTGCGTGTCTCTTCACTCACAAACTCTCATACCCTATAAATAAGACCCTTGAGACGTTCATTACTTCATCCCAAATATGCAATCATTGTATAATAATGAATTCATCTTTTCCTATTCAAAACTTTACAAAAAAATATGTTTTCCATTTCATTCTAAGAGTACATAAAACCAATCTTCGTTTCGTTGTTCTTATATTTTTTTAAGTGCTACAAACATAAGGAAATAATCGTCGTATCTTGAAAGTTGATTGTCTTCATTCGTGGACACCGTTGCGAGGTAAAATTGACTAAAAGACAAAAAGTCAACTCTTATCCCAACTTTGCATCCATTTCACTTAGCATTATTTTGACTTTCTTTTTCTTTAGTGTTTTATTACTCATGTTCTTGCCGTTATTCTTTTCAATTTTTGATAATGTTGGTAAGTTTGATTTTTGTCATTACTCAAATCCATTATCTCATCAACATAAATAAATATCACGCATATCTAAAAATCATCAACTTAATCATGTATACATTTGGGTGCTCGTCGAGAATCTTATCCAAATTCAAATGCAATAACAAAGTAGCAAAAAATAATTGCACATCCCCGGGCACCTATTTTTAGATATGCTTATCCATTAATCGGCAAAGATCTATAGTCTTAAACAGTTTGCGATGGAAGGATCAACTCGCCGGGCACAATTTTTGAGTAAGCAATGTCTCGGATGAAAGACACTGTTTTACCTTCTTTTGTGAAAAGAGACGTGTAAGTTGTGTCTATGAAGGCTAATCGAATATGCAGTTCATCTCGAAAACAATCTCTATATGGGCGAGAAAATTTCCAGAATGGGTCTTAATTGGAAACGTATATTGCAATTGGTAGAAATTGCTAAAATTACATCTCGAAAACAATCTCTATATGGGCGAGAAAATTTCCAGAATGTGTCTTAATTGGAAACGTATATTGCAATAGGTAGAAATTGCTAAAACTACGCCTGGATTCTGGAAGAGACTCCCACAGCACTTTCCATTCGTGTATACCAATCACCAATGCGTGAATGTTCAACCATATCTCGACCCGACTTAAGGTGGCGAATTGGTCTCAAAACACCGAAGACAGCAAGATCGGCTAAATTAGGCTTCGCACCACCTGTTGATATGACGATAAAATAGAGATAAATGGTGATGCTACTGAAGTTGATCGTCCACGTTAGCTTATAAACATACTGCAAAAAGAGGAATTAAACAAACCTAGAAAATCTCGGCCCTTGAGCGCATCTACCCATGTTTCTGCAGCTTCATATAGAGCTGCACGCTCGTCCGTAATATTATACTTTTTCTTCAATTTCTTAGATACAAAATACATCGCCACGGCTCCAGCATACTTGGCTGTTAATCTCTCAGCGAAGCTGAAATTCCCTGCAATAGTCCAAAATTACAACACTTTAATATATAGGGGATAAAGGGGGAGGAGGCAAAGCTTGTGTAAGCTGTACAGGATCAAAGTTATTCTACCAAGCATCCAAACTAAGCCTTAAGCATTCGTTAATGGTAGTAATTTGAAGCAATCCACCTGATGACAGACTGACTTAAAATTCAATTGCACGATAAGAGCATCTCCAAGAGACTATAAATACAAGACTCTATTGAGCTATTGTTTATAAATAAGCTGCAAGACACTCTAATTTAGAGAGTCAAACACTCTCTATTCTTACTTTATAATCATTGCATTTAGTAAGTTACGGATTTCAATATTCTACTCCTTAAACTATTCGAATCATATTTGAATTGATTGACTATTAATATATATAAAAAAATGTTAAATATAATATAAGGAAAAATCAATAAATGCTTCTTGAAAAAAAACAAAATAAAGAACCAAAATTAAGGGCAATGTTGGAGTGTGTAAAAAAATTTCTCTCTCTAAATTTAAAAATGCCCTCCATTATATATAAAATGCTCTCTATAAATAGAGGGTCTCTTAGAGATGCTCTTTTGAGAAATCCCATATATTATTATTTGTCTCTAAACCCATTTGTTGAAGACGAATATTGATGTCAACAATCAAGCCGCCGCCGCCTCCTCGATCCTATCTCTATAAGCATATTACAGTGGACAAGGAGATGACATGTTAGCTTTAAAAGATGATCCTGCTATATTTAAGCTGGGAAGCTGACAGAAAACACCACCATGAATGAGGAAAATGAGGTCATAGCCCATAGTTCAGGAAAACAAATCCCATTGGAAAAAATCCTGGACTAGAAGGAGCAAGAAAACAACAAAAGAGTTGCGCATTAATTAGCCACCAAAAAGGAAATATTCATTATCTGTTTTACATGGTCAACTTGCTCTTTTCGAACAGTTCCTCAACAGAGTGGATATAAAGGGAGATAGTACCTAAATACCTGGCACAAGCACGATGGTGAAATGGCAAACAACCCTTGATAAGTGTAATATTGGCTACCAAAGGTAGCTTTTGGGAGTGATTATTATGAGCTTGATACTTGATTATGCTCATTCATTGATTATTTTAGGAGAAAATTCGATATTGGACGAAAATAGATGAAAATGAAAAAAAATTGATCAAAAAGGAGTAAAGTCATACATATTTTAAGGGCTCAATCTAAACAAAAAGAGGAAAAAAGGACCAATTTGCACAAGTAAAGGTACAATTTTCAACAATTTGAAATATCCTAATTTGACTAAAACAATGGTTCCCTATCATCTTGGGACTCTTATCTTAGACCTAAATTGGGTCTATAAATAAAATCTTGCATTCAATCAAAAGAGGAGAAAAATTACACATCCAAATACATTAAAGCCCCAAAATTTGCATCTCAATTTGGGATTTGAATGTTGAAGAATACAATTGACCAAAGATATAAAAGCTTTGAAGAGGAGATTGATGATCTATTGTCGAGTATTGGGCGTCAAAAAACAACAATTGATAGGATTCTTTTCTTCATTTATTGTATTGAACCCAGTGACTTTTTATCCTGTTATTTTTTAATTCCACAATTATGAGTCAACAAATAATTGGTTGTTAGGATGAACAATGTAGATTGAGCTTAATTGTTATTTAATTTCAAAAATTTCATGCAATATGATTGTGTGTTGATTACTTATTGTGTTTTAATTGCATTCAATTGCCTAATCACCAATTACTTGATTTAAGGACAATATCAAGAACGAGAGGAGATTATGTATATAGTTTGTACAATAAGTGACAAAGGTTTAATAAGAGATCAAGGGATGATTATAGCTTATGCAATCATGACAGAATTCTTATAACTTAATGCATTCACATGTATACGAATTTACATAGAGATATAATAAATTCGAGAACGTGGTTAGGGTTAGTTTTATTCGAGAGAGATTAATAACTAAAATTGGCTAATTCAATTGTTAATACATATGAAAGGGGGCTGAATTAAATACCTAGGTGATATCGGAATTTCTAACCACTTAATCCCAAAAGTTCTCCACAAATTAGACTAGTTAGGTTAATTTAGCTTTGGATAAATTAGTTATAAATAATCACTTAATTTCATAATAGGTCACCATATTAATTTAGATTGAAACAAAATTAGAATAAAAATTGATAGTAAGTACTTAGTCTCCGTGTGATGATATTCGGACTCATAATCTACTTTATTATTTGACTCAATCAGTACACTTACGGAATCATGCGATCAACCCCCAAAATGAAAATATAACTAGTTACTAAAGTACTAAGTGAAAATTACTAAAAATGCACTCCTCGGAGAGAAAAAGAGTCCATACAAGAAGGGAAATGAGTGAAACAACAAACAACACTAGTAGTTCTACTAAGTCCCCTCTCTCTGCCCTTTCACTTACACTGTTCTATAAATGCATAAGTTTTACTAAAAAATTAATTAGCCGACTTTGTCTTGGGGTTTAATATTTTATAGCCAAAAAATCCCTTTAATCATGTCAAGAGCTAAAACTGGTCCGTTATTATCTTAAAATTAGCCCGGATACTAGCAACAACCAAAGAGTTTCTTCTCTTCTTTTCGGGAATTACTTCTTTGTGTATTTCTAGAAAAGTGAATCAGTGTATGTGTGTGTCTGAGTCTGTATCTATATCTGTACGCAGCCTTCACATTGTTGCAGTAATCGATGGTCTAACACTGGGTTTTGAAGTATATTACACAAGAGGAACTTGCATGCAGCATTACTAGCCATCTTAATGACATTAACACGTACCATGACTGGTGATATAGTCGAATGACTCGAGGGCCTCAGAACTACTCCGATATATATTGGGTGACAAGATGTGTACCAAGTGGTCGTCCACCCACCTGAAATAATGAGAGTAGACATTACAATCATGGGTTCATGCACCACAATTACAAGTACATCATGGCAAGTGAACCCTCAAGATGCAGAAGAAGCAGATCACACATGAAGTTAAAATTAATAATTACGAAGAACAGGGTAGAAGATGAAAAGTGGAGACGCTGTCTATTTCCATCAAATATAACTCGAAAGCTAGTTAGGGTGGGGAGAATTGTAAAACATCAAGATAACATCATAACGAAATATGACGATGCCCACTCGGGAACGGTTTACGATAACATGGTTGAAAAAAAATACTAAATGTAATATTATTGCAGAGGGGCTTTAACCAACTGTATAACGTAGATCAATCTGAACAGAATTCATATAAAGTGACTCTGCAATTCATGAAAAGAAAAAATTCTACAACAGTAACATAACAAGAACAAAATAACTCATACCGACGCCACTTCTTCTCTTCATCATCTTCTGGGACAGAATCAGCAGAAACACTAGGATGGATCTTTTTGGTCAATTTATCGATTATAACTACATACAGAATGCATGAAGGAAGTTATTAAGTCATATCTAAAAACCGAAAAAAGACTAAATAATATGCTAGACATCATTATCTTTAGAAGTATCTATTTATTTACATCTCTGGGCTTTCAGGAAATATTAAAAAGACGGTCAACTGTAAACTACTGAAGACCTGAAGAATCCACCATTTGTTCACCATCAACCATCAATATAGGTACTTTCTTGTAATCAGACCATTTGATTTCCTTTTTGCTGATGGGGTTAACCTCCACAACTTTGTAGGGAATGTCGTNTTAACCTCCACAACTTTGTAGGGAATGTCGTGATAATCCAAGACCGCTGCGGGAAGAAAACCAATGTCGAAAATATGTGTCAGCATTCTGCAAGATCAAAATCTAGTATGACAGAGATATACAACCATCTAAATTATAGGACACCCACTCAAAACCTCACGATGCCAGAGATTAAATATGTGACATTATATTTTTTCACTTAGAATTCTTGTCCCCTCCTGGAAATGGGCATAAATTCACATAATTAAGATTAATGCCCCCAACTTTGAGTTCTTAATTGGCACTGAGCATAGATAAACCACTGGGAGTCTGTGACCACAATTTGCATAATTTTGGGATAAACTGATAAAGCACAAATGAATAGTAAAAACACTTGAGGAGAAATTATAGTTGGAGCCCTCAACATATGCAAAAAGTAGCGAAAAGATCCCAAACTTCTCTTTTCTCAAATCTGACTCATAAACCTTTTAAATTTGTAGCATACAGGACCTTGTAGCACTTGGGTCAACAGCAGATGGTTTCTATCCACCTGACCTTTCGAAATTCACGTGACTCGCATGGCACATACATAATAGCTGAAATTCTCTTTTATGAACATAGAATATCCTAATTTTGGGAGGGGAAAGGAAAGTTTCGTTTCTGTACATCAAGGATTACAAATAGAAGGTAAATTGAACACAAGAAATGAAAGTCACAAATGAAATTCCATTGCTATGGCAGTGTGTGGGTATTGGGTAGTTTTATCAATAATAAGTCGTCTAATAAGATACCAACTATTAGCTAGTAAACTTCTAAACTATGCCTTAAAAAAATTCTTAGAAGAATTCAAAAACTCAAACCTCACAATCTCAATACCATACCAGTTGAAATTACCTTCGCGTGAACAAATTTATCGTCACAATGTAATTCCAATTGAAAACGAACAAATTGAATACGAATAATTTTTTTACAGTAAACAGTAGTCTTCATAAAAACAAAAACATCCTTTAGAATTTTGATGCACTATTACCCAAAATCCAGGTAATTAAAAAACTACTACTTCAATGTACATTTTGTAGCGAAAATCAATAGCAATTAACTAAAAAAATTACCTTTAACCTTGTTACAGAATGGGCAAGCTTCATACTGATAAAGAACAACCTCGTCGGGGCGGAATTTCGCATGCACAGGTTCCTTAGCATGGACCTCTTCCGCCAGGGTCGTAGCCGCAAATGAGAATAACATGGTCCCTGCAATGGCGCGAGCTACCGCGCTAGCTGACTGATCGGCGAGCTTGTTAGACAATAAACTATGTGTCCTTTCGGTGCTAAATAGAGCCGTATGGAAGATCCGGGGAAAGTGATTGTGAGTGTGGTTCCCGGCAACCTCCGGCAAGGTGGAGACGCCACCCACGGCGCGGTATATGGCGGCGATACCAATAGCCCTCCTCATTTTTTCCTGGGTCGATCTGAGATCGGATCTTTTGCAAACTCGATCTTTTTGTGGTTTCAGAGGGTTTTAGAATGGGCAATTTTCTAGAATTCTTTTTTTAGATACATATTTGGGTAAAGCATAAAAAGGCAACCAAATATTTAGCCCATTTTCGTGAGTTAAAATCAATTTTTTAATAAATTTTAATAAAAATTATGAAATATGTGGTTAAAAAATTGTGGGATCAATAAACACATATGATTAAAATTAATTATTGATTTTAACTTAAATTAAAATCTAAATTTTTAATCTGTACCACAAAGAGTTATTAATAAAATAAAATAATTAATTCTTGAAGGTATATATTGAGGGCATGTTTGAGTCCTATTTTTTTTTTTTTTTTTTTTTTTGTGGAATGCATTTTGGAATAGTTTATTAATGAAGAATGTGTGGTTAAAAATGAAAAAAAAGTTTTTGAATGCTCGTAATATTATTTTATTGAATAATATGTGACTGAAAAGAAGAGAGAAAAATATATTTTGAAAAAAATGAAGAACAAATAAAGACTGAATTAAACAAAAAAAAAATGTTTAAAAGCTATAGTATTTTTGAGAAAACGTGAATTAAAATAACTTTTAAACATAGCCAAACATACCCGAAAAAGGAAGATATACATCTTTCTTGATGATTTGTTATACTTGGAGCAATAATGTAACAAAGGATTGTAAAATATAAATTTATCCAAATCACTTGTTAGTTTTTATTAATGTGTTTTAGAAGGTTGTCTAGACTCAAGGTTCGAATAAGATGCCCAACCTTGTACCTAGATAGGAAATAGGTAAAGTTGATTGTCTAAGGCATACTAGGTAGAAAAAGACGTGCGCCCTTTAGTTTTTGGCGAGTTGTATTTTCTTGTTTTGAAATATAGTTCAACTAAATACTTAACAATAAATAAGTCCAACAAAACATCCAGTTTAACCTAAATCTAATATAAGAACATAGTTTTCTCTTCTCGCGAACATCGCATTATTAATCTGAAGAAGCAAAATCAGAGAGATGTCCTACCCTCAACATAGTTTAGACCCGTGAAGTCTAAAATCTCATCCCCAAGCAGATCATTGAGATCATAAACCAGAGGTTCTAGGTCCTCTAACTTGTACCTATCATTCTCTAGGACCTCGAAGAACGCTTGGCCCTCATTGAAAGATACTGTATCGGGAACACCCTATTCCAACCAAAACAAATGCTCGAGGTTCTGAGGACTTGCATAAAAAAATCTCTATTTCCAACCCTTCAAAGAGCTCGACATCTTAGGAATTCTAAACCTACCTCGAGTTGAAAGATACACAAAACAAGTAAAGTTCCGGGGGTCATCTTGAACACTAACTTACAAAGGTCGAGGTGCAAGGTTATGCCTAAATACTTACATGCTATAAAGAAGTATACATTCTCCACCCATTAGGCACTGACTTCCCTGAACACATAAGAAGGAGATCAAGAACCCTACAAAAAAGGGATTAAGAGACCACATAAAACCCCCTCAACGAATCCCTAAAAACTACAAACTCCCCTGACTTACACCTAATTACCCTATCATTGTGGCCTGAGGCTCTGCAATCATACAGGGGCATTAACTCAAACTTTTTGGCTATAAGTGGTATGCTCTTTATAACCATAAGGAAGCTTGAGATAAGAAAGCTCAGGTACATCCACTCGCTTACCTTGAGCTCGACCAACTATGGGAATTCCTAAAGGTATCCTTGTCTCCACTACCCTCGAGGCTATTCCCTGAGCCATTCCAACCAGAAGCCCGTTCTATAAACTCGACATCTAATCCAAATAAAGTATAACTATGAATTTGATCCTTAACTTAAATTTTCTAGTTTGCACAACACAAATGCTCAAGCTTAAAGTTGTAGGTGAGATTTTTACATTGTGTGAAAAGTGAAAAATGAAGGAATGTGATAGCCCAAGAATAAGTAACCAAGATGGGAGTGAATTGATTTTTAAAAAAAAATTCAAAAAATAGACTTTATCAACCAAGTTAAGAACACATTGATCAATCAATAATCATAAGTGAGTAATTCAATCAAATAATAGATATGAATGAAATAACGATAAGTAAAAAGGTAGAGAGAATGCAACCAATATAATTGTGAAGGTTATATCCAAAGCAATGATCTACATTCTCCATTTCCAAACTATCCACTACGAGCAATGTCTTTTTACTATATTGATTAACTTATGGTTCAATCCAACCTTTTACAATGCTTTTGGTGACTTACAAAAAAGGAGACCCGATCATTATACAATATCTACCACTACGAGACTTCATTATGATCTTCACTATTAGGCTTTATGAGACCTCAGTATGACCTACAAATTTAAAGATGAATGATTTTACAATTTGAAACTGCTTTCTTAATAATGATATAAAAAATTAAGTACAATGAGAGAAGTAGACTAACACTTTAAAGAATAGCAATGAATGAAATTCAAGCGTTAGATGAGAAAAACTATAATGAGAAATATGTTTTTCAATGCGTCAAATTCTTAACGGTTAAAAATTGACCATTGGACGAACAGGACATCTGCATCAGCAGTGTTAGAATTTAGGTGTGAACCCGAATTCTTTGTTGATAATAATTAAGAGTTCTAATTAAAGTGCACATTAAGAAGAATTTTATTTGGAATGCAATTGTTGAATCTTATTCAAGTTTAATTGACAAATTCTAATTGAAATTCTATTTGGAAGCTCATTGGGAGTAGGAATTTGTGTTACACTTAAAGAGGACACTGTGATGAAGAAAATCAAGATTTTTGGAGCAAATGACCGAAGAGTGGGCGCCGCGATGGTACGACGCCACAGTAATTTTGGCGAGGCGCTGGCTCCACCAACTTATTTTGTCATTGCACTATGTTTTCTGTCATTTCCCATTTTGAACTTCTTGCTTTGGCATTCTACTTCAACTACAACTCTATTATAAGGGTTTGAACGTTTCATATTTGTTCCATATATACATTTGACTCTTTTATATAATTTAGTTAGGTTGATTTTTCCCTATAAGAAGTTAGATTAAGTTAGACATAAATACAAAATCTTTGTATTCTTTCTCCATATTATAATAAAATCTCAATTTTGTACAATTTTTTTTATTTTGTAATCAATTACTTCATATTGTGGCTATAATCTTTTATGTTTTCACAACAAACTGGTATTAGAGCATTCCGTCCATAATATTTGGTTTCAGAGCTTTTGGTGTTGAAATTTTTTAGAAGATCAAGGTTTTTTGTGATGGCAACAATAAAGTATGATATTCCGTTATTAGATTGCAATACAAGAATTTCTTTATGGCAGGTAAGATGCAGTACTCGCTCAAATGGATTTGGACAATGGGTTATGGGTTTTGACAAGTGTCCACAACCTGGAATATGAAGGAGAAACAATGGAGTGATCAAAAGGCCCTATCTCAAATACATCTACATCTTTCAAATAATATTTTTCAAGAAATTTTGAATGAGAAGTCAATCGCTGTATTCTGGGTAAAATTGAAGCAATTATGCATGACAAAGAGTGTTACTAGCAAATTACTTCTGAAGGAATGTCTATATTCTCATCATATGACTACAGTTACATTTCTTGAGGATCACCTAGCTGCTTTTAAAGAAATCGTCGCTGATTTGGAGACTTTGAAGGTCAATTATTATGAAGAAGACTTGGGATTGATTTTGTTGTGTTCATTGTCCGCCTCATACATATCTTTTAGAGACACGATACTATCTAGTCGTGATACTTTTACCATCGAAGAAATCTACAATTATCTATATTTAAAGGAAAAGATGAAGCATCATGTAGCATTTAGGAATCATAGATATCGTCTTATTATACATGGTGGTCGATCGAGGAGCAAGTCAAAATCTAACTTCAAATTTTAGTAATTATTGTCAAAAAAAGGCACTTGGTAAATGATTGTTATAAGTTGCTATTTTAAATCAAAGTCAACTGCAAATCAACGATTATAAACTTCAGGATTAACTATAAATCCAAACATGATGAGGCTTGGATTTTGGATACAACTTACACTTATCATATGTTACCCAATAGGGAATTATTTTCAACATATGAAAGAGTTTCAAAAGATGTTATGATGATCAATAATAACACACTTTGTCGGATAGCTGATATTGATCGGGTCAGAATAAAGATGTTTGATGGGACAGTTTGAACACTTGATATAATGAGACACATTCCAGATCTGAAGGAAAACTTTATCTCTTTAAGTACTCTTAATTGAAAAGGGTGCATGTACATTGTTAAAGGTGGAGTTATGAAAGTTATCAAAGGAGTCCGTATTGTACTGATGGGACATAAAAATCCCATATATATATCTTATAGGGTAATACAGAATATTCGAGTAATCAGCATATTTTAAGAACTCAGGTGGATTTAGAGTTGGCTTCTATACCGTTGGAATCTAATTTGAGGTCTTCTTTTTAAGAATACATCTTAGTTGAATTTTGAAGATATGGGTAAATTCGTTTTGCCACCATACCAACGATTTAATTACTAGAAATAGACCCATTTTTGGCCATAAGGTTCCACATAAGTTCAATTCTACTGATTTCGTTGATGGTTTGAATGCGGTTAAGGGTGTTGATTCTAGCCAATACCTTCTTTCAATGCATTAAGTTGTGATTCTGTTACATGGCTTCTTTCAGCCTTGTTTAGTGATCGTTTGTTCACTTTTTCCCCTAGACGAGCAGAGCTGGAGAATATTTCCAGTTGGAATTGTTAATGGAGAAGTTCATTTGTGTTTTGTGAAAAGTTCAAGTTTATTCCTTGCAATGGAATTTGTCTACAGGTGGATAATTCTTTTGAAGTTTTGTTCATTGTAGTGGAATTCGTGTTAAGGTGAAAATTGTTAAAATTTGGGTGTCACCTGAATTCTTTGTTCAAGATAATTAAGAGTTCTAATTAAAGTGTATATTAAGAAAAATTCTATTTGGAATGCAATTGTTGA